GTGTGTGTGTGTGTGTGTGTCAGGTAGCGAGAGGGAGTCCTGTTGTTGTCCCCCCTCCCCCCCGCTGCGTTCCACACAGCGGTGACAAAGCACAACCCGGGCATCAGTGCGGGCGTCTAGTAAACGGGATGACCAAGCCCATATTTCAGGCTTCATACCTTTTCAAAACGAACCAGAAAGAACAGGCTCATTACAGATGAGATAAAACATCCTCGCACCGACATCTCGTCTCATTCAAACCCAGCAGATACTGCTATGTCACTGTTCTGTCTCTTTACAGCGTTTTTAAAGGCATTTCTGCTTTATTACGCGGTGAATGACGACGCATATGAGACCGATTAGCACGGCGTTTAACATCCGAGACAAAGAGGTGACCAGATAGTATTTCAACCATGTTAATTAATGAGGATGATTTAAAAGTGTTCCACATACACACACACAGAGGAGAGCGGGGAACACTAGTCGCCATGCAGTGCATGGGGCGTGCGCGTGCACGTGTGAAAGGCTGGGAGGCCGTCACAGCTCCTGGACACATTGAGTCAAAGGCCTGATGGACTCCCATAGATCAATACACTATCACTTCATCCACTGTACCGCTCCTCTGCAAACCTCCCCCTTCACTTTATCTTACTCACACACACTTACAACTAACACACACACTTGTGTCCCGTTTTTGTCTTGAAATCTAGATACGGTGTAATTAAGGCTGATAAAAATGCGCCCTGCCCCCTTTTAATTGATTTTACTGGCTGCCGTGGTAAAAGGCAAAGGTTGGCCCACTTCCCTTTACGGCTTTCGTCCACGCACACACGCCGCTCTAAGTCTGTATCAGAAGAGCTAATGAAACCGGCAAAAAAAAAAGAGAGGCTGAGCGTTGCTAAACACGCAGCCGGCCCTTTAATTGACTCCCTGCCACGTTCGAAGCTAACAAACGAGACGTTGTAATGTTACCTCGCTGACAGAATTCTACCGCTCCTCTTTCCTCCATCACACTCTTATTTTTTTTAAGTAATCCTCGCTATGTTCCTTCACTCCCTCGCTCTGGCACCCGCACGTTTTGGCTGATTCTCCACACCCGTGTGGTGCGGTGATGCAATGCGTGTTAACACAGCAGAGAGTCCAACTACACGCAGCAAACCCTTGAGGAGTTTGTACGTGAGAGAATGTGGCAGCGAGTGAATGTGATGGATGCGACGCAGGTCAAGGAGCACCGGCTAGCTGTGATCCTGCGCTGTGTGTGTACATGGAAACACACACACACACACACACACACACACACACACACGCGCTCGCTTTCTTTTTTCCTGACGCGTAGCAGATGACTACAGCACCCAGAGGACACGAGAGAAACACACACCTCGTTACTCATCCGTCGAACGCGCTCACACACACACACACACACACACACACACACACACACACACACA